GCCTCGTCTTGATCCGAACCAGGTCAGAGCAACTAGGCTAATACTATTGGGAGAAAAGGCAATCCATAAATATTGGCACCAGAAAGTGACGATGAACCAGCCGAGATGGCTTACAATGGGGTTATCCTGCAACTCCGGATGAATTTTGGAAAGCACAGAGCGAAAATCAGCTTTATTTGCCTCATGCTTGGTCAATTTAATTCAAGATTGACTCTTCGCTTCTTAGATGCATGCCTTGTCGGGAGAGAAGAAGGCTTATCATGAATTCATCAATAATCAATTTAGCGAGTGGATCTTCCTATGGTATCAGAAGAAGCTAATTGATGAACCTTTTACATCCAACTTTTTTTCATCATCAAATTTATAAAGAGAAACTGGGTTTCGAAGACTCCCTTAGTAGATTGATGCGGACATACCTTTCATTTCGTTTTAGAAGGCAGGTGGAAGGGATTCGTAGATGGACCTCACCAAATACAGAAGTAGGGTTGCCTTGGACATTTGTGTATTGAATTGTGCAAAGAAGACCTCAGCTCACCGTCCTACGATACCAATGACCCAGTGCTGAGCTTTACTTCGTCATGCGACAGATATCGCCAGAGCCAGAAACCATTATTCACGAACAACCACCCAAAACCAAGAAAGGTAGTCAGCTGAGTTCCTACTTACTTCTTATACCTTTACGATCACTTTGCGATCTTGATGAGGTATTCCATGATTTGGTTGGCTTTTTTATGTCTGTCCTAAATGAATTTAAGCGAGCGAAAGTGATGCAAGAAGGGGAGAAGATGTGGCCACAACTTTTGTCAATGTAAATAAACTAGTGTATGATCCTGTAATCATGGGTTTTGTTTTAGCTTCGTGGATGCGTATGCAACATTCAAGAGTTGGTTGGCAATTTCGTGTCTGAAACAAGACTCTAGCTTAATCAAGTATTTTCCTCTTACTCAGTAGCTCTTCCTGTTCCCTAACTCTATGCATCAGCCAGAGATAGTTCCTACTTACTGTCTTACATTCGTTCCTCTTATTCAAGATGTTCTTTATTCTGCTATTTTCAATCGAATCCCTGATATTCCGC